AACATTATTAATTATAATTAGTATTTAATACTACCTACTATGAAAAGTAATGTTATATTTATTTATGTATCTAATTATTTTATGCTATACTATCATAACTAGTACTGTATCTAATTAATAACTAGTATTTAGTTACTAGCAAACTGTATTAGTTGCTTAAAATGTTTACTATTATATTTAGTGAACACTCACATTTTATCACCTGGGTGTGTTTTTAATAAATCATCTATAAAAAAAATCATACTTATTATTTGAAAATTTATATAAAAATATTTTTCCCCTTAAACCCCAGAAATAGTTGACATTTTCGTAAGAAAATAGTATTTATCGCTAAAATATTGGCGGAAATTATTTTTTAAATGAGTTTTTGTGATTAGACACACAAATAATTGTATTATATTTAAGTGTTTTCTCTCTAATCAATCGATAGGTTAAATATATTTTTAGATTTTGAATTAGACTTTACATTTTGTGATATATAATACACACGTGGGTTATGTAATACGATACATAGTGACGCAAACTGTGTGTATATTTTCATAATTAATGATCTCTAGTAATTAATAGACATTTTTACTACTGTATTTATTTAAGGGCAAATATTTGATGCATTTACTAGTTATATATAAAAAGGTATTTACAAAATTCAATTAAAAAATGCATTTTAATTTTATATATTCACTGAAACACACATTCAGTTTATTCAATGCATCAGAAAATACCGTAAAATCTATTATATTGTTATACAATGTTAATAAATTATAACTTTTTTATACATTTTTTGAAACTCGCATAAAAGTGTCACAACTTTTAAGTCCATATTTGGTTCAATCGTTTTTGTCTACAAAAAATTTTTTTAATTCAATTTAAAAACTAATTAATATTTTACTGTTAATATTGTAGAGGAGATATCGGCGGCCAGGGAGCTGTCGATGGAGGGGACGACCGACTTATCCCAATTGGTGTCCAACGTATTGCCACAGAACAGCAACTGTAACACTAGTCCGGTGCCCATCAGTCGGGCCAACTAATTCAAATGATATGCCATTTGATTCATACAATTATATGCGTAGACCTATGAGCTCACAATTATCCTTAATAACCAGGGTATTAATGGTGGTCATAGTGATCGGGGTCACACATACCTCATCCCTCTGAGACTCGGCTAACTTCTCCTTTCGGGTCACTTCCTCTACCTCTCGTTTCCATAACTAAATGTTTGGCGAAAAAACAAAAATACAATTAAATTAAAGCCATAAAAACAAAACCATTAATAAAAATATTACAAAAATATATATTGTAATAAAAAACCTTGTTTAAAAACATTACAAATTATTCTTAATAAGCTATTTTGTTAAATTAGATATCTATAAATATACTAGATCATTACTTAAACTTCAATTATAATAACAAAATAAAACTAACCATTAGTATACTAAAAATATACTGCAATAAAAACTATTACAAGTACCTTGTTTATAAAACTAGTCTACAAATAAAATATACCTAATATAATCACCAAAAACAAATTAATAATCATAACTGCCTAGCTACATAACCCACAAAAATACATACAACAAAAACACTACCTATCAACACCACTAACCTAGCCCTAACCCATGCTACCTGTGCCCCCTACACAAACACACTTACATTCATGGCCTGGGCTAATTTCTCCTCATAATTAGCGAGCGTAGCCTTGTGTAGGGTGTTCTCCTCCCGGAGCCTCTGCACCTCCATCATAGAGGCCACGATAGTCGACGTGTTAGTCGTGTTGTTGCCCCCCGTCGTGGGCGACATATTACCGCCGGTGCCCCCGAAGTCGTACAGCGAGGACTGGCCCACAGAGTTGGTCCGGTGCATGAAGGGCGACGACATGCCGAAGCCACCGCCACCTCCATTGCCGCCACCCGGCGGACCCCCACTGTTCAGCGACGATGTTAACGGCGACTGTCCGATGGGTGGGGACGGGAGGCTCGAGTTGGTGTTGCCTATGTTGTGTCGAGCGCCTGGGTGTCAGTGGGAATGGTATGAAAAAAATATTAGTTTTTCGCTTTAAGTTTATATTATACGAGAATATTCTGTATATTCTTAATGTGTGTATAATTATAGCTATATTTGCGTGAAATGTTTATTTGATTTAAATTATATATTTTTTAAAAAGTTCATTATATCGCGAGTTGGCTGTAATATCTAGCCATTTGTGTATAGCTTACAGGAATGGTAGCTTAAAATAAATGCAATTTTCATATGAACTTTCAAAGGGTTTTGCATTTGAATAGGAATTCAATGGAAAAACATGCAAATCCTTGTCTTTTTCATTCACTACTTGTTTGTATGATATTCTCATATTCGTGTCATTCATATGCAAAACACACTGTATTTGTATATCAATTGGTGTTTTTGCGTTGAGTATTATAATCAAATTATTCATGTCTCGTCTTATTATAATTTAAGAATCAAGAATATTCTGTTAAACAAATTAACTAGCTATTTATTGCATATACCTTATAATGAACTAACAAATTGAGTACCAATTAGAGATTCTGGTATAAAATACTTTAATAATTAAGTATCCTAGCATAATAATAAACTAGCTTCTAACTCTACTAAACTATAACTAGCTAATATACCAAACAATTAAATTCTACTAATAATCGTGGTCATAAAATTATAAATTTATAAAAACATATCAAAAATACTAACTATCTAACTTATTACAGTAGCACTAAAAATAAATTTAAACTAGCAAATACACAAACCAATTAATAACCATCGATATCACACTACCACAAACACATACCCCAACCCTCCCGGTGCCCACTCACAGTACAACAACCACTACAGTAACCCAACAAAAATACCCTACTCATAGCACACCCACACATACCGGGTATATTAACAGGCTGCGTCGAGCCCAACAGGCTATTCCTATGCCTATCGGTCAGTAGGCTGTCCACGTGATTGCCGACATCATTGTGCTGCTGAGCACCTGTACTCTGACCACCGCTATGCTGTTGCTGCTGGTGCTGGAACTCCTTCTCGAGCGCATCCATATGGATGTCATCCAAATTGAGATCATCTAACGTCTGGTTGAGTACGGCGTCGATGGGGTTGTAAAACGAGTTACCGGTGCCGTCGCTACCCGTCCCACCAGATGGCGACAGTCCAAAGGCCGACTCCCGTAAGGGGGCGAACAGCGGGCTACTGGTGCCCCCGAACAGGGAGGACGTGTTGTTTTTGAGTTGACCGTTACGCTCGAGGTAACTGTGCAGTAGGCTCTCCGAGGCGGCCGTGGCAGTTGACGTACTGTAGGAACGGGGCCTCGCGATGGGACCCAAGCCTCCCGGTGTCGGTATGTCTCGCTGTGCCTGCGGGGAAGGGAACGGTAAGTATAAGTATGCCGTGCTGATTGTATGGGTTTTTAGTATACATGCTATGAATTAATTGTTGTTTTGTATGTATTTTGGTGTAAATACTGGCGGTTATAGTGAGGTATAAGTTGCGATAAAAGTTAATAATTTATCAAATCTATGAGCCAGGTAGAAACTTAAGTGAATAGTTCACTGATTATTTTAGGCATTTTGTGTCCAGGTTAAAAGTACAAAAGTTACCTCTCATATGCCATATTTAATTTATATAAGTGAAATGTTGTATATATAGTAAAGTTTTAAACAGTATTACAGTCTATTGACTAATTTAAACACACGTTTGATATTAAAAATAACTCAACATAATTAACTATCACTAACTCTCCCCGATACTAATCCTAACCCTTATTCTACATTACGAGTAATTAGTATACATTCAAAAAAATCTTATCCCATAAAAAACATACAAAAACACAATTAATTAGCACTAAGATGTACACCAAAACACGAGTAACTAGTATATGACATACCAATTGTGGGGGCGGTTGAGGGGCCGACAGGTCGAATCCGGCGCTCTGGTAGTGGTCGGGTAGGGACGAGGCGATCGACTGTTGATTGTTATTCCTATTCATCATAAGCCCTCCCGGGTTAGGGCCGCCCTGTTGGCCGGACATGGAGTTGGCCCGACTGATGGGCACCGGACTAGTGTTACAGTTGCTGTTCTGTGGCAATACGTTGGACACCAATTGGGATAAGTCGGTCGTCCCCTCCATCGACAGCTCCCTGGCCGCCGATATCTCCTCT